AGGTCATACTATCCTAAAACAAAGCTGCCTTGTCCACCCTGTTCCTTGAGACCAGACCTCCCTCAAACTCTGGCCACTGCCTGGTGTTGTGCGAGTTATCTGGGCCAAAACCATGGCAGCGAGAGCACAAATGGGTTGAGTGGTGCCAGGAGGGAGCTGGAATGAGACACATCCCCACAGCCTACTTGAGAATGGTCACACACAAGGAAAGGAATGAGGACGCCACTTAAGCTGAGCTCCTCAACATTGTTCACAAAACCTGAAGGAGGACCAGGACTGCAACATGCTGAGCGTCTCCAACTCCACCACAAGTCACAGATGGGCAGAGGTGTTTGCCCCTGCCAGCTCCTTGCCTGGCCATCACCAGCCTGCAAGACCCTGTGCGATCCTGGGGACCACGTCCCCTACTCCCACCCTGCTCAGCTGAGTGTGGTTTCCCCCCAGCTCCTGCAAGGAGGGATGAAGTCTTGGTGCTCCTGAGTGCCTGGAGGTATAATAAGCACCAAAGAGGAGCCAGTCATGGTGTTATGTATCCAACCAGCTTGCAATCTCATTTTCTCCCTGGGCTGGGTGAGTAGGGCAAAGGTTGCAGTAGCTGGCTGTCACTCTGGCTCACTGCATATGTACCAGTGTGTGCTCCAGTCATCCAGCACCTGGATCAAGATTTGTTTCAGCAGCACCACATACAGTCTGCTTGGTTTGGATGGTGCCCAGGTGAGTGGTGAAGCCAATTGTGATATATTTTAAACTCTAGAGTCTGGAGTTGTGAAACAACCTCCTTTGAAGGTAGTACAAGCCAGGGGGCAATTCATTCACAGCCCTGTGAAAAATGATATATTTGGCTGGTGGAAAACTTGGCTCTTCTGTAATGGGTTGGTTTGAAGGCATTCACCACATTCAGGGATGCTCTTAAATTCCTGTACAGACAGCTCTCATGGATTCACCATAGGCACTCACATTCCTTTTCCCAGAGAAATGTTCATAGTGTGTTCACATCCAAAAGAAAAGACCTTAAATCCCAAGCCATTCTGCTTTTTGCAATGCCATACTTGACAATAAATTCAGAGGAGTGAATTTTCCAGCACTGGCACTGGATTTGGGGTGATGGCATGGCACATTTGTTAGGACTGAATGTCTGCATCTGTGGTTTCCGAAAACTCACACAAATAAATGCACACCCCCAAGCATGCAGACTGAAGTGCTCTGCAACCCACACAGCTTCCTGATGCAGCTGAAGGAAAACCATCTTCACAAGTCATGATTTTCTTGTGACCATCGTCCTGCATTTGGTACACCCCTGTCGACCAGCTGAGCAGGGGTTACAGCAACCACTCGTTTTCCGTTTATAATGCACTGGACACAGTTCTTTTGTCAGAGTAATTTTCATTTTCCAAGGCTGCTTCTGTTTGTGAACTGCACTCATATACAGCACCTTCTCTGAGCAGTCATCAGAGCAGCTCTGAAATGTTTGGATAGTTTGAAATAAATTTCATCAGAAAAACCACAAGTTTCTATAAAGGAGCACAATTGTCCTGTGTTTTCTGGTTTGGAAGCTCTCAGAACAGCTCCTCCTTTCTCCAGGACAGGATTAATACATGTACTGTTGCTAAGTGTCCAATATTTATGTTCCATTAAGTTCAAAACAGAATTTATTTCTATTCAGTGTAAACCCCTGCAGCCTCAGGTTCAGTCATGAGTTTTGCCTCAGTCTTTCTCACAGTTCTTCTCCTCATCACGTGGTTAAGGCCACTGTCCATGCTGCAGGCTATTCCACTTTCAATCCCATTCAAAAAGCCCCATGGGCATCAGAAAGTCAAAAAGAACCTGTGAGAGACCTCCTGCAGCCTCTGTGACGAATAGCACTGGTCAGAACCAGGAACTGAGCCACAGTGCTACCTGCCTGCACTTATGCTTCAGGGTAGCTGTACATACATCATTTAAATCCTTTGCACAGTCCTTTGCAAGCTCTGCACTTTCACACTGGTCACAGATTAGGTCTCAGAGTTGGAAACCCTCATCCTGCTACCACAGATGGGAATTTTTCCTTGCCAGAGATATGGCAACGGTAATTCTCTGCAGTCTTTGAATCCAGAAGCACCTGGACAGGCCTATGAAATACCTCTTAGGTGCATGCTATTCATCTTCCCATCCACTGAAATATGTACACATCAAAAGAAGCATTCTTATCTAATGAGGTTTTGATGTTCATTAAAGCAAGACATTAACTGTAACAAACAGCAACGCCCTGCAGCACTGGGGAACGACAGCAGGTGCTGAGCCCCAAGACACACTGGGGGTGACAAGGGTTGGTCACCCCATGGATGCTGTCCTGTGTGGGTGGCAAAGGAGTGGCTTCACTGTGTCCACTCTAAACCAGTTCACAAGACCAGGAAACCTTGTTCCTCTTTAAACACTTTTCTTTACCTTCCCCTTTCTCAACTCCAAACAAGCTGTGCTTCGAAGTCTTCACAACAGCAACCTGGCATCTTCTGAACACAAGGCCAAAAGTATCTCGTTTGCAGGTAATCACTGAGCAGCGTTTCATGGCATCTCTGAAAGGGCCAAGGGATTCCCCTTGCTCTTGGTGAGTGGCCATTTCCAAAGTCTATCCGTTCACACTCATCGCCTCCTTCACCATGGAGGATGTAAAATAAACACCCCTCCTGCCCCGCCACTCTGTTATCAGCTCTGCAGACAACTCACCCGGCACTTCCCTTCAGGGTGACTAACTTCAGATGTGCTGCATCTGCCCCCCCTCAGGGCTCCCATCCATCCCCCTGCAAACACCCAAACCCCGACGCATCCCATGGAGATGATCTAATGCCATGACTGCTGCAAACAACCTCATGGTCATGCACAAATCCACATCTGCCACGTGTGGACAATTCCTTCCTGTGGGGTAAGCTGGGGTGTTCCCTCTGCTCTACCTGCTCCCCTGGGGACAGGTGGCTTGAACCCGCCGCAGCAGCAGGAGGACATCCCGCAGCTCCTGGGCCAAGGGAAGGCACCAAGGCAGACATGTCACAGGCAGAAGGTGGAAAGTAAAGGAGGAGAGAGCAGATCTGGGGAAGAAGCAGAGAACACAAATCTCCAAGGGTGCAAGGGCCAAGTGGCTGCAACCTCTGCTGCTACTAACAGAGAAAAGAACCAGGTGAAGACCACACGATCTGCTACATCTCCCTGGCTCACCTAACCAACCCTTAACTCAGAGCCAGGTGCTGGGAGGGGACTTCATGGGGCAGAAGAGCATCTTGCATGACCCCTCAGCACATGGGGCTCTAATGAAGGCGAGGGAGCCCAGACCTTGCGAAATCAAACCATCGTATCTCACAGTCTTCCAGCCCAGGCCAGGTACCTGCTGTGCCATCCTGACATCAGGGCTGCTCTGGGAAGAGCCACAGCATTCTCTGAGCCTGCCAGCAGCACTGCCAGCATTAGCACCTCAGCCAGGGATGCTCCTTGGGCCGCAGGTATGCATGGTGCCCCTGAGACCCCTGCAGAGGTCCAGGGCCATGCTCACTCATCTGAATTCTGTTGGACTCTTTGGTGTTGGCTTTTGTGGGGCAATAAGGCACCTGAGGTCCAAACACTTGTGAGTGCACACTATTTGTGTGCACTTACATGGCTCTGGCAGCCCAGCCAGGCACCTCTAACCTCTCTTACCCATTAGCTTTTCAGCCAGGTCTTGCCTTCCTGATGACTTCACTCAACACTCAGAGGCATTAGAAGCAAGAGGAAAGCCACGGTTTTGTCTTGCACAATGAGCCAGATTAATCAGCTCCAGTTGCACTGAATTACCTAGTCGGGGCTCACAGCGACAGCCTCCAATTCACCTGCCCACCAGCCAGTGTCCCGCTTTCAACCAAGATCATCAGCAAGAACACGAAGCTAGATGAATGACTAGGTGAGGGTGGGCTGCAGCCTGTCAGGAGCTAGAAAATACGTCAAAGCGCTTTGAAATTAAATCCTCACTTTGACAGGGAACTAATGCACAGATTTTAAAGTAGGTGTAATATACTTAGGCATGTGTGCAGCACAGTGCAAGTTGCCATGCTTTGAATAAGTATGCTCCAGCTATGCTGTGAGCAGGAAAATTGGGCTGAAAAGACAAAGGGAATTTTGAATAGCTCCAAACCAGCTTGGCAAGATTTTAGAGATGGTAGCAAGAGGTTTTAGTAATGGACCTAACTAATAGCATTGACAGGAGGAGATTTGGTGCACAGTTGTTTGCTGCTTGGGATCTTGGGTTTCACTCCAAGCAGCCGTCTCATGACATCTCGTGTTGCTCCTGGCTTTAAATTGAGTCATTTGTGCCCATGCGGTCTGTGGGGGATAGATGGAGACATGGCAGATGGGGAAAGAGATGGGGATTCCCACTGCATCTCCTGGCCTCCAGGGCCAGCAAACCAGGCTGCTGGGATTCCCAGCAGTTGACCTTTCTAGACAACTTCAGGTGTGGATTTAATCCTTAATGCTTGTTTGAGCATCCTCCTCCACATGCTCAAAGCCCAGCACTAGGCACTGCAGGGACAGACCTGTGGTGACACAAAGAGGGTGTGTGGCCCTGTCCCGATGCCAGCTCCAGCTGCTATTCCTATTGAGGGTAATCCCCCAGGACCTCCCTCTTTTCAGTTTGCAGATGACGAAGTCAAGAGCTGCCTATTTGTGGCGAACCCTCAGAAACCTCTCCTTGGGAGACTCCTTCCAACACAAGTGGAGGCAGTTCATGGGATGCCCAGGTTACTCCCAGCGCTACGGAAAACCGAGGCACCACCGTGCTCCATCCCGAGCCCCACGGCCCGCTGCCGGCGGTGGAGCGGCACCGGGGGGGGGGGGGGGTGGGAATCGCTGGCGGGCAGCGCAGCGCGGCGAGGGGACGCCACCGGTGCCGCCCCGGGGGTGTCCCCAGCGGCGGGACCCGCCCCGGGAGCCGCAGTCTGGGGCCGCCCCCGGGGCTGCCCCCGCCTCCGGCCCGCCCCCGGCCCGCCGCTCCATCCCGGGATGGGCCGGCCGAGCTGACAGTCGGGCTCGGCGGCCGCCGCGGGCGCATCTACCGGGCAGCGCCCGCCGCCAGCCGCCGCCGCTCCTGCCCGGCGCCCACCTGCGGCGGCGGCTGCCTGGGGGCCGTGGGCCGGGCGGGGGGGGCGGGCGCCACCGCCGTCGCCGCCACCGCCACCGCCACCGCCGTCGCCACCGTCGTCGCGCTCCGCTCCGCTCCGCTCCTTCCTTCCCTGCCTGCCTGCCTGCCCTCCAGGATGAGCCCGGAGTATTTCCTGCGCTCCTTGCTGCTCATCATCCTCGCAACCTTCTCGGCCAACGCCAGCAACTGGCTGTGAGTAGCCGCGGGCGAGGGGAAGCCGCCGCCGCCACTTGTTGCTTCCCCCCGGGGGCGGCCGAGCAGGTGCCGCGGGGCCCGGCAGCATCCCCCCCGCGGGGGTCGCGCCCCGTCGCTGCCCAGCTTCGGAGCGGGGCGGCGGCGGAGTTCGGGCTCCCGGCCCCGGGTCAGCCCGCGGGGGGCTCCGGGCTGTCGCCCCCTCCGAGCCGGCGGGGCCGGGGCTGGCGGCCCGGCGGCCCCGGCAGGTGGGCTGCAGGGATGCAGACCCTGCCCGGCTGCTCGGCTCCCGCGCCTCGTCGAGGCCGCTCACCGGCTCGCTTGAGGGGCACGAAAGACCCCTCTTTCGCCTTTTGTTCTTCAGTTACTCGCTTGGGCTGCGCTGGGGAGCCGAGGTCGGGCCCCCGGGTCAGAGCAGGGCCTGGGGCTTGGCGAGGCGCCCCGTGAGGGCCATCGGTCCAGGGAAGGACTTGGCAGGGCCAGGGCGGCTGCTGCGGCCGAGCTGGGCTCGCTCGTGCGCTGGCCCCGGGGACCCGTTGCAGGTCAGGCTGCGCGTGTCTTGGCTCCCGCTGCCCCCCGAGCACAGTCAAGGGGCCGTGGGGGGCTGCTGCGTGCTGCAGAGGAGCCCGGTGACATTGGTTACCCGCTGAGCAAACACTGAAATAATGTCTAAGGTAAACAGGGGTGGAAATCGTTCTGGAAAATTCCTGCACATTTGCCAAGGCTGAGGGGCTGTCTTCTGGGGAGACCCCCAGGGCAGAGGGGACGGAGTGTGACAGCGCGTTCCCTCAAAGCTCTGAGGGACGGCTTCCTCCTAATAAATCTTGTCTTTTGGGAGACACTATTTGCCCCGTTCCCAGCGTCACCGGCTGCTGTGCTCGCAGGCTGAACTCAGATCCCAGTGCTTGCACCAAGCGGACCTGCTGTCGGGCTGGGCGTGTGGGCCGCATCCAGCTCGCTTCCCCAGGCCTCCATCAGCAAGGGCAGGCACACCACAGACCCCCAGGGAGTCCCCAGGGCTGGAGGCTGGGGCTGCCAACACAAAAGCTCCCTGGAGGCTTGCAACTCTCCCGACAATCACACCCAGGCAGGCATGGACCCAGAAGCATGTCCCCTGTGGAGTGCTCTCTGTGATTCCCATCTCTCCTGCCTTTAGGTTTGGCTTGCTGCAGACTGCAGGAGGTGGATTGGTTTTGGAGGATGCTCCCTACGGCTGGGGAAAGCTGGCACCAGGTCAGCAGTATTCTCCCAGTGTCCTGCTGATGGGAAAAGGTGCTCACCCTCGGGCAGCTGGCTGGGATGTGTTAGCGCTCAGCCTTCCTCCCCCCTGTTTTGCCAGATGGAGCGACTTGTGCTCCGATAGACTCTAGCAAAGAGGTGGGTGGATCGCAGCAGCTATCAAGGTAGTCTTTAAGCTGTCACGCCTCTGGTGAAGGTACATCGGAAAGAGTGGGAGCGCTTTTCCCGCAGGGAGAAAGTCCGGAGGAAGCCCTGCAGGATGACGGCAGGTCCCGGGGAGGAGCAGCCCCTGCTCGCCCAGGATGGGCATGGGGAAGCACCTGGTGAAGGAGGGGTTCGGTGTTAAACCACAGCAGCAGGGTCAGCTCCACATGGGTGTGTGGAGGGGGAGTCCTGGCACACGGCTGCAGGGCTGGGGCTGGTGGGGAGAAGTGGGAAGATGAGGCAGGCAGAGGGGTGGCTCACTGCGACAAGCGGTAGCACTGTGTGCAGCCAGCCATGCTTGCAGCACGACGAGAGCACAGCACGAGGGGTGGGCGTGGGGGGTTCATCCATGGGAGAACGGAGGGCTCATTCCTGCCAACAGGGGAGGAAAAGCAGATACAGCTCAGTGCGTTCAAAAGAAAGGTTCAACTTTTTGATGTTACAAATGTATTGTGATAAAAGGATCATCCCCCGCTCAGTGCTTTTTATTCTTTGCCTTTAGGATTAAGACAATTCCCATTGTTTATCTTCTCACATCAGAAACAAAGGCTGCCGGAGGCAATAAACAGAGTTAGAAGGATCCCAGGAGTTATCAGATATTCAAGGAATGAGTATGCCTCGTATGTCTTTGCAAAGCTGCATGTGTCATGCGTGTGGGCTCCAGCGTGCTCTGCTTTATCGCAGTGCTGCCTGGGTGCTGCCCACCCGCGCCCAGCATCTGGAGGCTGGATCCAGCTGGCGCACGGTGCTGGGTGCGCGCCTGGCCAGGTGCATACTTCTGCACGTACGTGTGTGCACTGGGTGGCAGCGCACAGTGAAGTTTGCTTTTCCAGAAACCTGCTGGATTAGTGATTAAGCTCAGTGTGCCTTTCACAAGACGAGGCTTTTTCTAAAGCGTCTTTTGACCTGTCGGGACTCGCATTCCCTGAGCACTTCGGAAACGCCACTTGCAACACTTGAGCTGAAGGTTTTCGGCAAGCCCAGCTCAGTGAGGTAGGGCTCATCAGGACCCTGCACACGGTGCCTTCTGAGCCCCATCCCACCTCGAAGAGGATGGTGTCAGCATCTCTGCCAGGCATCGCTCTGCTGCTGCACATTTCGAGCTGGAAGGGACTTTGCCAGATCTTTTCATTAAATGGACCGAGATACTTTCTATCTGGCTAGGAAGTAAACCTCAGGTGTGTTTTCTCAGTGTCTGAGCTCAGGGAGTTGCTGTTGGGCTCACTGCCTATCCAAAAAAGCTCTGACATAAAAATTTGAAGAGATGCTCTGTTCCCCCTTCCAATGAAAGCTTCAGACTTGCTTTTCCTTCTGCCTTTTGGGGCTCGGAGTGCTTTAAGCCTTTTCCTTAAAGCAGGCACAGAATTGTAAAGTGAAGTAAAGGGCTGTAGCTGATTGTGCTTGTGCATAAAGGGCAGGTCCCTCTCCCTTCTGTGTTTCCTCTGGAGGACTCCAGGGACTTGCTTTACCCATGGGACGAGCTGCAATTCGAAGCAACTTGCATGTCACGGCCTCAGTTCAGCTCTTGAACCTATGCATGCAGGAACGTGACTGAATTTGGAAGCATGTTCGGACAGAGGTGCAGCAACATCCTGGTGCTGGGGGTGTTCTCAGAGGGTTCAGCCAAACGCCCAGCACTGCACGGGCTGAGCGCCTCTTGGAAGTGGCCCAGGGAGAGCTGGGCCCTTGTCTTGGCAGGAGGTAAGGGGTGATTTATTTAATTCTTTGGGGGCTGGTGGGGAGCAGAAACCCACCTGAAGAGGTGAACTAGAACATATGCGAAGTGGGGGTAAATGCGGGTTTCTCCTAACTGTGTATGGCACTGGGGTTGCTGTTACCTGTAGCTATTTGGGTTGTTGGAGCAGTTGTAGCCCTGAGAATCAATTCCCCTGCCTGAAAAGCTTCAAGAGGCAACAGGGCAGGGGTCCCTTATGAGCAGGGCCCTGGTTATCTAGCTCTCTGGGAGTCATTGCAGCCTCTCTCCCTCTTCCTGCTGTTACACATCCAGCACTGGCTTTGGAGGAGGCTCTCCATGCACTCTGAATAGTAGGAGATGTGATTATGCTGCTGCAGAGCAGGGTGTGCCACCGGCAGCTCCATCTACCCCCTATTTACAGGAGTTTAAAGCTTCCAGTTGGGCTTGAGACTTGGCTTAAAGGGCCAGGAGCACAGCTGGGCTTTTAAAAGCCTTTAAATAATGAAACTGCCTATTCTTGGGAAAGCTTGGAGACCTTGCAAGCGTCCTAACAAGCCTGGCTAAGCAGCTAATAGCAACGACTTTTGAGGGCTGGAGAGAGAGGGATAAAAAGATTTTTTTCTGTAGCCCCCCCCCTTTCATTGAACATCACAAGGTGCTTGACAAACACAGGGCCCAATGCTCTCTGCTCACCCCTGCCAGCTTTGCAGAGGGGATATTGCAGGAGCAGCCTGGGTAGCCCTATACACTGATCTTCTGCTGGTTTTGGGTCACTGCACAATGTAGGGGATGTAGAAGAAGCAGGCCTAGGTCCTCTACTTGCATTTCTCTGTTCTTAAACCAGACTCAATTTTTAAGGTGAATCTCCCCAGCTTTGCTAGCAGAGAGTTTGCTTCACCTCAAGCCTGGTTGGGTTCCATTTTGCGTGAGATTCTTTGCATTGTCTTTGTGACCCTCCCATTTTCCACTCAACGAGGAACCAGCCCAGCATTTTCCCAGTGGATGCCACGCTGTTGCAGCCCTCATTCAGCAGGTGCAGGTAGCTCCGGGGCAGATCTGCTTCTGCCAAGCCCTGCTCCCCTCCCCATGTGCTTTTTGGTGCGAGGACGGTGTCAGGAAGGTTCCCCAGTCTCATCTGCTCTGGCAGCTAGGGCAGTGGATTGCACAAAGTGGGTCTGATGGAGAATTGCCTTGCTTCAAGGGCTGCTGGGGGGCTGGATGAAGGGTTCTCTGCTGCAGGGGTGCCCAGAGCCCCTCTACATTGCTCTGGGAATCCTGCTGGGGCTGCAGGCACAGCACTTAGGGCTCCCCTACCCATGCACTGCATGGTTAATTAACACTGGGGGTGCTGGGACCCTGCATGCTTATTCCCAAGGGATTTGGGGAGGCAGACCTAAATCAGCAGCCTCCATTGAATTGAATGATTCTTTTTTTCAATATTTAAAAAAAAAAAAATCCTGCCACTTTTGACAAAAGCAGCTAAGTTTAGCTCAGCTATTGAAACAGACTGCCCTTAAGGGTTGCATCCTGCAGAGGCAAGAGACCTTTGCAAATCTCGACACTGAACTCCCAGGCTTGTCTTTGAGCTCTGCCAGGATGGAGGAGGGATTGATGCCCTTTTGCTCCTCAGTGAGGATGGGCATTGTTCTTTCCTTAAGGACACCTCAAATAAAACTATACCCTAATCTTCAGGAGCCTTATTCTAGGGAGGAGGGACATGGGTCGGATAGAGCTACCCTGTATCCTACGGTGTGCAAAGACAGGATCTGGTCAGCTCCATGTGCAAGCAATGGCAAGAAGCAGATTTCTTTTTGCAATTGTTTGTGGTGGATCCATGAGTCAGAACCAGGCTTTTGTATTG